GCACTCAGGAGTCGCGCCCGTTGTGGCCCCATGTGCATGCCCTTCGTGGCCCCGCTGTCGCCATTTGTGTCCCCCTCACTGTCCTACGTGGCCCAGTTGCTACCTTCAGTGGCCCCATAGTTGCCTTCTGTGGCCCCGCATTATCTGCACTTCGTGGCCCCCGCTCGTTCGCACTCTTCGTGGCCCCATACGCATTCCCTTCGTGTCCCCGCTGTCGCCCTTCGTGGCCTACTTCGTGCCCTTTGTGGCCCTGCTGTCTTTCTCTCTTGCTCTCGCTTTCGCTCGTCGTCGCCGTCGTCTTCGACGTCGTCGTCGTCGTCGTCGTCGTCATCGTCGTCGTCGTCGTCGTCGTGGTCGGTCCCCTGTCCGTCCCTTTTGGGGTCGGGTCGACGGTCCGCGGCCGCCCCGCCGATCAGCGCTGCCGCTGGACAGGCCGACGGTCCGCGGCCGCCCCGCCGCTTGCCGGGGCCCGGCCTGCAGGGGTGAAAGGTATACCCCCCAAAAGGGGTTCGATTGAAGACGAAGAGGGCGGGTATCGAGGGTTTGGGAAATACGCGTTATTGGACACTCGAGCATATAAGGGCGAACGGTCTTAAACTTATGGTTGTTGTTGTTGCTGTTGTTGTTGTTCTTCTTCTTCTTTTTGTTTGTTGCTATTGTGATACCGTTGTCGGTCGTCGGTCTTCGGACGTCCTTGGTCGTCGGTCGCCGTCGGCGGCGTCGTCGTCGTCGTCGTCGGCGGAGGCGGTGGCGGCAGCGGTGGCGGTGGCGGCGTCGTCGTCGTCCTCGTCGTCGTCGTCGTCCTCGCCGCTGCTGTACTCGACGTGTTCGTCGTTGTTGCCACTGTCGTCGGAGGTATCGTCGTCGTCGGCGGAGGCGGTGGCGGCGGTGGCGTCGTCGTCGTCGTCGTCGTGGTCGCCATCGTCGTCGCCGCTGCTGTACTCGACTTTGCCGTCGCTGTTGCCACTGTGCAGTGGTCGGTCGTCGTCGCCAGTCGTCGCTCGGTGATTGTTGCTCGTCGCTCGTCATCGCTGTCCTCGTTCGCGAATTGGATCGTTGCTTGTTGGCACTCGTCTTTCGTCGCCGCCGAAGTCTTCGTCGTCGTGGTCGTCGATGTTTTCGTCGTACTCGATCGTCGCCCTCGTCGTCGTCGATCGTCGTCGGCGGCGCTGCCGCCGCATCGTCGTCGTTGTCGTCGTAGTCGATTGTCGTCGTCGTCGTCTTCGCTGCCGCTATCGTCGTCGTCGTCGTTGTCGTCGTCGTCGTCGTTGGCGGCGTCGCTGGTTGTCGTCGTCGTCGTCGTCGTCGTCGTCGTCATCATCGTCGTCGTCGGTCGTCGTCGTCGTCCTCGTCGATCGTCGTCGTCGTCGTCGTCATCGCCGTCGTCCTCGTCGCCGTCGTCGTCATCGGTCGTTGCCACCGTCGTCGTCGTCGTCTTCATCGTGGAGGTCGATGAACGTCCTCATCGTCGTCGTCGTCGCCGTGGTCGTGTCGTCGTCGTCGTCGTCGTCTTCGTCGTGGTCTTCGTCGTCGTCGTCGGTCGTCGGTCGTCGTCGTCGTCGATGGCGCCGATGTCGTCGTCGTCGTCGCCGTCGACGTGGCCGTCGTCGTCGTCGTCGTCGTCGCTGGTCGTCGTCGTCGTCGTCAGTCGTCGTCGTTGTTGTCGTCGTCGTCGTCGTGGTCGTCGTCCTCGTCATCGTCGCCGTCCTCGTGGTCGTTGTCGCCGTCGCAAGTCGTCGTCGTCGTAACGGTCTGTCGTCGTCGTCGGTCGGTTGGACGGTCGGTTGATCGGTGGATTGCTCGGTCGGTCGGTCGTTCGGTCGGTTGGTTGGTCGTCGTCGTCGTCGTCGCCGTTGTCGATCGTCGTCGTCGTCGTTGTCGTCGTCGTCGTTGTCGCCGTCGTCGTCGTCGTCGATCGTCGTCGTCGTCGTCGCTTGTCGTCGTCGTCGTCGCTGGTCGTTGGCGTCGTCGTCGCCGTTGTCGTCGTCGATCGTCGTCGTCGTCGTCGTCGTCGTCGTAGTCGTAGTCGTCGTTGTCGTCGTCGTCGTCGTCGTCGTCATCGCTGCCGCCGTCGTCGTCGTCGTCGTCGTCGTCGTCGTCGTCGTCGTCGTCGGTTGTCGTGGCCGTCTTCGTCGTTGTCGCCGTCGTCGTCGTCGTCGTCGTCGTCGTCGTCGTCGTTGTCGTCGTCGTCGTTGGCCGTCGTCGTCGTCGCTGGTTGGCATCGTCGTCGTCGTCGTCCTCGTCGTTGTCGTCGTCGTCGCTGGTCGTCGTCGTCGTCTTCATCGTCGTCGCCGTCGTCCGCCTCCGATCGTCGTCGTCGTCGCGGTCCGTCGCCGTCGGTCGGTCGGTCGGTCGAACGGTCGGTGTGTCGGTTGGTTGGTCGGTCGGGCGTCGTCGTTGTCGCCGTCGTCGTCCTCCTCGTCGTCGTCGCCGTCGTCGTCGTCGTCGCAGTCGTTGTCGTCGTCGTCGCCGTCCTCGTCGATCGTCGTCGTCGTCGTTG